TGTGGGAATGGATAATAACAATTATAATAGCTACCATGTGTTGAATACTTATTATGTGCCTTGCATATATTATTTCACTTAATTTTCACTTTAATGCTTTAATAGATATTATCTCCAGTTTATGGATGAGAAGACTGGGGCTCAAAGAGGTTAAGCACACTTTTGGCAACCATACTTGAAGTTTCAGGTCACAGTCTAGTCACTTGCATTAATGTAGAGGTTACTAGTTCCCAGAAAATGGATAGCTTTAGTGGAATTACTACTGTAGTTGCACAGAATTTTATCTTGCTTTAAAACAAATATTTCAGAAAGTTAAGAAATGAATGGACTTCTCCTTTTGGTGGGCACTTGAGTAAAATCATTTCTTAAAAATGTCTCTACTGATTTCCCATTTTGGTTGTGCAGTTTCAAATGCTGTTGCTGGGTTGACATTTTGAATGTCTACTATGAGCTATAGAAGTCATGTCCAAGCTCTAGATTCAGAGAGTTTGTTCTTTACCACACCCATGGAAGATCCAGTCTCTGCTTGTATCCAAATGCCAAGAGATAGAAATAGAATTCTGTGCTTCTCAACAATATTCTTCCTAATATGTCAGTGTCTTGTAAGCAATGGACTGTGGTGGAGGTAGCAAGGTTAAACCCATCCTTATAACTCCAGTGAATGGAGAGGCCACGGTTTGAATGCCTTTTGGATTAGTATATTGTGGAAAGCAACACACCTAATGAGACAGGCTGTTAACTATTTGATTGCATACCTTCATTTTTCCAAAGCAAAAAGTTCTTGAACACTAGCTGAGAGGTACAATGGAGTACTGTTTCTCCTTTTTTCTAGAATAGCACTGCTAGTAGACCTTTCTGATGGATGGAAATGTCCTACATATGTGCTGTCCAAGACAGTAGCCACTAGCCACTTGTGGCTATTTTTGAGCACTTGAAATGTGCTAGTGTGACTGAGGAACTGAATTTTTAACTTATTTAAATTAATGTAAGTTTAAATGTAAATAGCCACATGTGGCTAGTGGGCTGCTGTATTGGACAACACGGTCCTAGAATGTAACCATGATGAGCAGTTCTCTAAGGAAGCCCAAATGACGGTTGTCCGGGCTGAAGCTGGGGTATTGTTCACCAATGGCTTTGACTCCACTAGTGAGTCAAACCCATTGGTGAACAACACCCCACCTTCTGTATCTTGAGTTGTTTTTTTTGCCTCTGAGGGAAATGCCTCTGCTTTTCCTTTCTGTGAGCAATGGAGCTCACTCACATGGCTGGTTTAAACACCTTTAGCAGTAGAGTATGACAGTCTGGGATTTAACCCTTGCCAGGTTTAGAGGGGATAGAACTCAGACCCTCCTTTTGTTTCCCTCCCTGACAGTGACACGAATCAGCGCTAAGAGTGTGCAGCATCAAAAAATAGAAAACTTTGAATTAGTAACTGAATTTATTGCACATAAAGCTCTCTCTGAGGAGGGTGTCACTGCCCACTGCCCTCATGTGTCCTCCATCTTCTATTCCTTGTGTGGGCTTCTAGAGTGAACAGCAGAGTCAGGGAGAGCTGGAGCAGGAGTGGTGTTTGTGTGAAATTCACGGAGTGAAATTTCACTTACGCAAGTGCTTAAGCACTTATGAGAGGCTTGGAAGGAGGGCAATAGTCTGCTCTCTGGTTAGAATTAGTTATTCAGTGAAAAGATTAAACTGTAAGCCAAAGAAATTAATGTGCCCAAGGTAAGTGATGGAATGGGGTAAACTGGGGATAGTGATAATGGTACAAGCTTCTCTCCTCAGGTCTATGACATAATTTGAGATAACTCAACTTAGGCACTTAGCACAGCAGTGCTGATTATATATCTACATGTATCTATGTATGTACGTACAAAACAAACAAAAAAAACCTGTTGCCATCAAGTCAATTCTGACTCATAGCGATCCTATGTAATTTGCAGCAATAAAATCAACCCCAGGCTTGTTCCTTGTCATTCACTGAAAATACATTGAGCAGCTACCATGCAAAGTGCTGGGGCTACTGAGAAGCCTAAGACAAAATATGGTTTCTATCATTGTGAAACTCTTGATCTAGTGGGTAGGAAATATATATAAACCATGTCAGAGAGGGGATATAGGGCCTCATGTTTACCACTTCTGGCATTAGACTGCGTTCAAAGCCCTGCTCTACCACTTTCCCAATTGTATATACAGGGGCAAGTATTTATTGAGTCTCAGTTTCCTCATATGCAAGGAGGTTATGATAATAATATCTGCCTCATGGGAATAGTATGAAGATTAAAATAAATAATGTATGTAAACTTCTTAGCCAATACTTGTACACAGTGAGTGCTCAACTATGTGTTAGCTATTACTATTTCTTAAATTTCATTTATTTTTATACAGTTTTTAAGGAAAATTTACCTTCTTTAAAATGCCTAAATGTTACCTATACATTTTTGATAAAATAATACCTGTGTAACTCACACGTCTCTCAAGATATAGAACATTTTTATCAACCATAAAGTTTATGTCCCTTCCTAGACAATAACCTGCCAGAAGCAACCAGTTTTTTTTTTTTGCCATGGATTAATTTTGCCTTTTCTAGAATTTCTATTAAATGGAACCATACAGTATGCACTCTTTTGTGTCATTTATTTTCAAATAGGTAATACATTCACATGGCTTAAAATTGAAAAGGTACAAAAAGGCATGCAGTAAAAAGTTTCCTTCCCACTTGTTTCCCCCAGTCACCGAGTCCTTCTCCTTTGAAGAAACCAATTCTATTAGTTGTCTTGTGGGTTCATCCCGTAGCTGTCATTATTATTATAGGGGTACATAAAAGGTGCTTTAGGGACTCAGATTTTAAAGGTTCCTCAATCTTGTGACAGCCCAGCTAAAACAATATAGAATCAGTTTTAATGTAACTGGGGTCTTTTTTTTAGACTGTGATTCCAAATGTCAAACTGTGACATTTCTGCTTTCCGTGACTTCCATAACCTTTAAAGCCATGTCTAGTTCAAGTTTTAGCATTCTATGATTCTCATTTATTCACTAGACCAATATGTATTGAACAAATATGGAGACACAACCCTGAACAAAACAAAGCCAAGTTCCTGGCCTCATGGAGTTAATAAGCTAGTGGAACAGACCAAAAAAAAAAAAAAAAAAAAAAAAAATCACCCAAATAATCATACAATTACATTTTTCAGTGCAATGTGTTAAGGGAATGGGGCCAAGGTAGGGAGGTCATAGGGTGCTTCTCCAACGTGGTGACTAGAGCTGAGATCAGAAGTATGAGGGTTGGGAGAGCTTTCCTGGCACAGACCAGAGCATATGCAGAGTGTCTGTGGAGGAAGAAAGCTGGAAAGTAGGAGGGATTGGAAGAGGCTAGTGTGGCTGGAGTAGAGAGCAAGAACAGAATATGATCTGAATGGTGAGAAGTAGAGAGGTAGGCAAGGTTCCTGACCATGCAAAGCTTGGTTAGTTAAACAGTTTTGTCTAAGAGAATGGGAAGCTATTGAAGTGGTTTATGTAGGTGTATTTGTGTTTTGAAAAAGCAGGGCTTTGAACCAGTTCGAATGGGAACGTGCATTTCCACCCCAGATATACTCAATCAGAATTTACATCTTAACAAGGCCCCCAGGTGATGCTTGTGTATAATTAAGTTTGAGACCCACTGTTCTATTAGTGGTTCTCAGAATTGGTCCCTAACCAGTAGTATTACCATTTTCTGGGAAATTGTTAGAAATGCAAATTCTCAGCAGGGGTTCGAACTTGTAGGAACCGGTGAAAAAGTCATTGTGGTTGTTGCCTGGAGAAGAGATTAGAGAGGGACTAGAGGGGGAAGTGAAGCCTTGGTGGCGCAGGGGCTTAACAGCTTGGCTGCTAACTAAAAGGTGGGCAGATCGAATCCGCCAGCTGCTTCTTGGAAACCCTATGGGGGCAGTTCTCTTCTGTCCAATAGGGTCGTTGTGAGTCGGAATCTACTCCAAGGCAATGGGTTAGAGGGGAAGTGGATAAACCAATTAGAAGACTAGCTTCGTAGCTCCTGACTATTAGCTGAACTAGAGTGGTAGTGGAAGAGATGGAGAGCGAAGGGCAGACTCAAGGAAAAAGTTGGGAGGTAGAATCAGCAGGGTTTGCTGATATCAAGGACGTCTCTTAGTTTATATGCAGAATGTGCCTCATTAAATTTCAAATTTTCTAAGTTCAGAGCTGGGTGGAGGCCATTACTTTACTTCCTATGTCTCGGTGTTTCCTAACCTTGTTGAAAAAATGGAGTTTTCTTCTTCTGAAATGCTTATTACAGATAACCAGGGAGATAGCTGTAATGATCGTTGCATATGTCATGGGACAGGACGAGAATTAACAGGTTGTTTCTGTTCCAAAGTAAGTACTTTCCTTCTAAGAATTTCTTCGTGGACGTTGGATGGTGGCCCAGTGGACGTCATTTACTTATGCCCATGCTCTGCCCCCTGCCAGACTCTGCATAAACCCAGAGTGAAGAGACTACTGAGGGTAGAGTGCTTTGCATCACAAGTGCCACTTACACGTTGGTAGTTATTGAGCCCAGGGCGGCCTTTTGAAGTCTGAGCGTCTGCACCCCTCGCCCGCGGCCCGGGAAACAGGAGCGTGGGAGGCACGGCAGAGAGTAGTCGGCAGCCCTAAGCGTAGGGTGGGATCGAGCCCCGAGGGGGTGCGCCTTGCGCCTTCCGCAGCTTTATCATGGAAGAGGAGGTTCAAACGACTTGGGAGGTCGCAATTTGCAGGGCTGAGGGCTGGTGCTTTGAAAGAAATGCGGAGAGAGCAAGGCATTTCCCCGCCCCCGCTTCGCTCCGTCCAATCCCTTCGGCTTCTCCTTTTCTTGGCCGGCCGGCCCGGCCCCTAACCTGCACGAATCCATTATGCGGTAGAGGCAGCCCAGTCTCTTTAAGGCCCTGCCGCGCCTGCGCCTTGGGTTTTCCTGACGCGGCCCGGTCGGACCCTGGAGAACCCGGCAGGCGGACGGGTGAAGGGCCAGACAGTAGTTGAGCCAGCGGCGGCGCGCGGAGCGGTGGTGGGGGTCGAGGACGGTCCTGACTTCGTGAGTTAGTGCAGCGCGCGTCGGAGGGCGACCCACGGAGCCAGGAGTGGGGCCGAGGCGCTGGGACGCGCGACGGTGGCGCGGCTGCCGGCTGGATGGGAAGTTAATGTTTACGGCAGAGTCCACCCAACGTCTCCAAGGTGAGGGGCGCTGCGCCAGGCCCGGCGGGCCGCAAGCCCGGACCGCTCGGGGACGCATGGCGGGGCCCAGGCGCAGCGGGCAGGGGCTGCAGCCAAACTTGCCGCGCGAGCCGGGCGGGCATGCCCGACCCCGCCGGGGCCTAAGTTCCCTGCGCTCGCGTCCTCGCCTGCAGCTTGTCGAGACCCTCTTTCCGCGGGCGCCGGGGAAGAAACTGGCTGTTGGGTCTTCCTGTAGAGTCCCAGAGAGGCGGAGGGACCGGGCAGCTTCGGGCGCCCTTCACCCCTGCTCTCGAGGCCAGAAGTGGGTTCCCTCTGGGTGGCCTCAGGGGATGATACAGTCTGCGCTTCTTACCTGCAAAGTTGGCGACTCTGTTTAGCTTCCTGGCATTCTGCGTATGGCTGTGTCTCCAGGCAGGTGATGGGCAAGCCAGGTGTGCCAGGTGACTCCAAGGATGCACTTGGGGAGGGTTTGTAGCCATCACTGAATCACCTTTTGACTAGCGGGGCAAGCCTCGAATTAACCACAGGATTTCCGGTAGGTTGGATTGTGGTATTGGTGTTGGCTCTAGAGTTGCTGTGATTATTTTTGTGTTTTTCTGTCTTTTGGGCATCTTCTGCCATCTCAGGTAGTATCCTTTCACCAGAGAGTTAACCAAAACTTTTGGAATGGTTCCCTCACATCTGTCTAGGGATTTCGCAAAGCAGCAGCATTTTCTTACGAAGATATCTCTTCTTTGGGTTACAGTGTAGAATAATAAACTCCTTTCTTTGCTGTAAGAAAGAATTTCAGTGCTTCATGAAGTTCAAGAAAAATTATCATGTTGGTAGTTTTTACTTTGATTCTGGGCTGTTATGTGTTAGTGGCACTTTTGTTCTTTAATTTTATTTGTAAAATTTCATCAGTTTACCAGAGGCTCTTTTCTAAAATTCTAGCCTTAAAAAAAATCTCTGAGAACTTTGTGTCAAAGAAATCTTAGAAAGTTTGTTGAGGTATACAGAAAAAGTGCACAATTGTAAGTGTGCTGTTAATGAATTTTACTAAATGAACCGCTGCACAGATCAAACGCAGTTGCCGTTCTGATTCCTGGCGACCCATGTGTATCAGAGTAGGACTGTGTGGCATAAGGTTTTCAATGGCCGATTTTTTGGAAGTAGATTGCCAGACTTTATCTTTCGAGATGACTGTGGGTGGACTCAACCTCCAACCTTTGGGTTAGCAGCACAGAGCGTTAATTGTTTGCACCACACAAGGACTCTAAGAACATTATTAGGTATTCCCATTGCCTTCGAGTCAGTTCTGTCTCATAGCGACCATATAGGACAGAGCAGAACTGCCCCATAGAGTTTCTAAGACTGTAATCTTTACAAAAGCAGACTACCACACCTTTCTCCCGTGGAGTGGCTGATTCCTGTGGAACCGCTGACCTTTCAGTTAGCAGCCAAGTGATTAACCACTGCACCACCAGGACTCCTTCTTATATTGTATGGAGGAGTGGAATTGCTGGTGTATTAGACGCTCTGGTTGCTCAGATGGGAAAGGTTGGTGGTTTCAGTTCCACCCGGGATTTCCAGGGAGAAGGACCTGGTCATCTGCCCCCATAAAGACTCCCAAAAAATAAACCCATTGCCGTCGAGTTGATTCCGACTCATAGAGACCCTGTAGGACAGAGGAGAACTGCCCCGGAGGGTTTCCAGGGAGCGATTGGTGGATTCGAACTGACAACCTTTTGGTTAGCAGCCGAAGCTCTTAGCCACTGTGCCACCAAGGCTCTCCCATAAAGATTACAACCTAGAAAACTGTGGGAGCTGTTCTATTCTGTCATAAAGGGTCAATGTGAGTCGAAAACCAATTCTAACGCACCTGACAACAACACTGTATGTGAATGATCACACTTAGTGTTCATGCTGTTGAACATTTTCCCAAAGTGGTTGTACCAATTAGCAGGGAATGATATTCCAATTGTCCCACATCATTGCTGCTGCTTGTCAGTGTAAAATTTTTTGCTATTGTGGTAGCGGTGCAGTAATATATCACTATGGTTTTATTTTGTATTTTTTCTTGATGATTGAGGTTGAGTATCTTTTATTGGCCATTTATATGTCCTCTTGTGAAGTGCCTGTTTAATCTTTGCCCAGTTTTCATTGGTATTCTTTTTTAAATTGATTTGTAATTTTTTTTAGGGATATACATTCTTTCTGGGATATATGTAAACCAGTAGCCTTTGAGTTGATTCCAACTCATGGTGATCCCATGTGGTGCAGAGTAGAACTGCGCTCCATAGGGTTTTCATGGCTGTGGCCTTTCAGAAGCACACACGCACACACGCACACACGCACGCATGGCATTTATCTTTTTCCACTCCGTATCTTGCCTTTTCACTCTTTTAATGGGGTTTTTGATGAATGGAAATTCTTTCTTTTAATGAAATACACTTTATTAATCTTGCCCGTTATGGTTACTGCTTTTTGTTTCCTGTTTAAGAAATCTCCCCTTAGCGTAAAAAATGAAGATATTTTCCTGTGTTACCTTCTAGTAGTTTGATTGTTTTACTTTTTACTTTTAAGGTGTACCATTTACAATAAATTCCAGGTAGATCATAGGGGTCAAGGTTCATTTTTTACCATATAGATATCTATTTGACCCAGCACCATTTATTGAAAATACTTTGCACCTCTGCTCTGTGACACTTTTTCATAAATCGGGTGACTGTATAAGTGTTAGTCTGTTTCTGTACACTTTATTCTGCTTCATTGGTCTATTTGTTAATCTTACACTAATATTACTGTATTAATTAATGTAGCTTTATAATAAGTCTTGATAAGTGGTAGTATAAGCCCTCCAACTTTGTTTTTTCAGATAATCTTGGTTGTTCTTGGCTCTTAGCATTTCTATATCAGTTTCAGAATCAGCTTGTCAGTTTCAACAAATTTTGGAAGTTGGGATTGAATTGGATTTATAGATCAATTGCGGAAGAATTAACATCTTAACCATATTGAGTCTTCTGATTTATGAACATGGTATATCCTTCCATTTATTTAGGTCTTTTAAAGTTTCTCTTAGTAATGTTCTGTAGTTTTCTGTGTAGAAGTTTTGCATATCTTTTCTTATTTCTAGGTATTTAATGTTTCTTGATGTGGTTGTAAATGATTTTATTTTAAAACAGTTGTGACTAGTGTATAGAAACACAAGTGATTTTTTCCGCTGTGGAGGAGGCTCTGTGTTTATTTATAATAAATCCCAGACATTTCATCAATAAATTCTAAGTTTTCATTCAGGACCTAGTCCAAATTCCACCTTGTATATTCTAGTTTTCCAACTAAGTTTTGTATGGTATTTTTTTTTGCCTGGTATCTTCAGTGTTTAGCACCAATTAAAGATTTAGAGAGTCTTTAGTATATTGATAGTTACTGTTTTAGGGTCTGGGAACACAAAGCTAGTAAAATGCTGCCCCTGTTCTTAAAAAGCTTAAAGTCTGAGAGAGAGGATGGTAGTAGAAATTCAAGAAAAGACGACTGTCTTCCGCTGGGAGAAGTGCTGTGATAGAAATTGGTTTGACAGCACACCCTAAAAAACCTGTTGCAGTCAGATCGATTCCAACTCATAGCGACTCTATAGGACAGAGTTGAACTGCCCCGTAGGGTTTCCAAGGAGTGGCTGGTGGATTTGAACTGCTGACCTTTAGGTTAGCAGCCAAGCTCTTAACCACTGCGACACCAGGGCACAACAAAAAGGGTATCTAAATCAAATTAAAGGGTATATGCCTGCCTCTCAGTGTTCTGAATGCAAGGCAAAGGAAGGGGGCTGTAGTGGTGGGGTTTACTGTTTACTGTACACACTTCTGCCTAATCCCTTGTCTTTCAGCCTTGAGCCTTACTCCACTCCAGTCTACTCTTCTTGAGTCTAGAGTTTCTCTAGGTCAGTGTTTCAAGAGAATAAATTTAGGAAATGATGGGAATGGTGGTGGGGAAGGGAACCTGGAGGGCCTAACTGTACCTTATACAGACTTTAAACCATTTTCCTTCTCTTCAGCACCATGCCTCTCCCCCACTGACCATGTACCTGGAGGCTGCAAGTCCTGAGCTTCTCTGGGGTTCTGTGAGTGAGGCAAATCATTTTGCTCTCTGAGCATATTCCCTTCAGCCGCCCCGTAGGTTCCAACTTCCTCTCCCCTAACTCAATTATTTATTCCTCCATCTCTTTTCTTGTTTCATGGATTCCATGATCTATCTAAAGATGTTAATGATAGTTCCTTTAAGCTTTCTTTTCCCTGCATAGTTTGTTTTTTCCAAGTTACTTTTTTTTTTTTTTTTTCTGTTTGGGTTAGTCCCTCTATTAGTAGTAGAAGTCCTCCTCGGAGGTCTGGTAATCCATGGTTGTGGGCTCATGATTAACAGTGGGCAATTAAAAGCTGATTGGAAGTCCTGAGCTTGTAGATGGGGCTTATTGACTAGGAGTTTTACTTTGGTCTTTAAGGCAATGGTTCTCAGCCCTGCCTGCATATCAGAATCACACAGGGAACTTTTTTTTTTATTTTATTTTTTATTTTTATTTTTTT